TTAATATTAATATTAAGTATTTTAATTTAATTAAATAATTATTAAAATTAAATTTTATTTATACGCAACTTAATAAAAGAAAATTGTTATTACTTTCTTAACTCTCCCTCACCACACGTTAGAAAAATCCAATCCGAAAATAGCAGAGGCTTGACTTCGATCATATCCATTCGGGGATGGACTTCTTCCACAACGCCAAGGCGATGCGGTTCTGTAGCCACCACGACAACTTTCTTCTGGCCGAGGAGGACGAGGAATCCATCACCCAAGACCGGAACGGATCCTTCAAGAACGCTCGATGGACTGTCGAGTTCGTGTCCGGATCCCAGTCCATAATCCGCCTCAAGAGTGCTAAAACCAGTAACTGACCGCCTCCAATCAGCCTTTCTTGCTTGGGATGACTGGCCGGAAGCGTTCCGCACCCTGCCTAAGCGGCTCAACTCGTCGCTTAGTGTTCCAGACCCTGACAATAAATGCCTAAAAATACAAGTTTTCCCCCTCCATTCTTCAAGAATCACTCAAAAAGACAAAGAATTTTCCTCAAATAGTTGAATCCAGCCTACAACAACCCAAAGGAACAAGTTTTTTTTCAAGCTTTTAACAATGGAGATGGTGGGTTCGGAGAGAGAAAAGCAAGAACTTATCTTGAAAATCTCTCAAAATTTGCGAATGGATGGAAGATACGGTGAATTGCTTCCCTAGTCAAGCGTGCGCAATGATTTGTTGCAAGAAATTTTTAGTTTGGTGATGATTTGAAGGAGTTGAGGCACGGTAGACCCGTGGGCTTGTCTGAGAAAAGGAGTTTGAAGGCTTTGGATAATTTTTAAGAGGTAAAAAGGGGAGTTTCAGAGGTTCACGAAAAAAAAAAAAATTCCAGATCACATAAACGGTCCTATAAATGCCATATCATCAAAACTTAACGGATCTCTAATGGATATCACGGAAACATGAGATAGTCTTTATTAAATTTTAGGTGATTTATTTTAATAAAAAATATATGTGAATTGTTCTCAAAATTGTGAACGAGTGGTTCCACTTTAGGGTTAAGGCCATCTATCGTCCCTCTACTATCCAAAATAGTGCATTCTAAACCTTCTACTATGGATTCGCTTCATGTCGTCCCTCTACTATCAATTAACTCTACCTCTCATCCCTCTACAATGCAAAAGCATGCACTTGTCGTCCCTCCATCCACTGTAAGGTACGGTGCTCTTTATTGACTGTTTAGTGTGACGATATTGACTGTTAAGTGTGAGATAACACCGGTTAGGCCTTTTTTATTATTTTTTTGCACCTTACCTGTGGGACCCACCTTACCACATCATCTCTAACAGAACTTTTTTACCTTACCGTTGCCTCCCTAACATGTATTCGCGGTAACTATGGAATTTACAATTTTTAATTTTCAAATATGAAAATCCCATCATTTTGATAAGATAATGGATAAATAAA